AAAATATATATATAACTACAACATTTTTAAGGTCTAGGAAAAAAACCAATATACACATTTTTAATTTATATATATATATATATATATATATATATATATATATATATATATATATATATATATATATATATATATATATATATATATATATATATATATATATATATATATATATATATATATATATATATATATATATATATATATATATATATATATATATATATATATATATATATATATATATATATATATATATATATATATATATATATATATATATATATATATATATATATATATATATATATATATATATTATGAGAAAATTAAAATTGAGTTTTTTAAAAGTTGTAGGGTACGTAAAACTCTCATAAAATTTCGAAAGAGTGATTAAAGAAGACAATTTCTTAAGCTACCCTTATGTCTTCTTAGAGGTCCATGACGAAAAATCAAAATCTCCAAATTTCGGGTGTGCACATCTGAACTTACCACAATTCATTTTTTTATCAAATGAATTTGGATATGCCTATCTGAAGCCACCTGGTTGTCTATTTCGGATAGGTATATTTGAATTCATCTCTGAGACGGGCAAAATCAAAAACATTGAAATCAAATCAACTTAACATAGATTATCGAAATTAAATAGATAGTTCTAAAGAAATTTAACATTACATATTGTTATAAACAGGTAGTTGAGGATGTTGCAACATTTTGAAAACATCTTCTCCTGATATTTGAAGCTTCACATCCACTTTAATTAGATCCTTAGAAGAGTATCGTTGAAAAATATTCCATATAACCTTTAAATCGTCATCGTTCTTGAGCTCAAACTGGGTGAACTTTATGTTTCCTTCCGTGTCTAGTGAAGGTGAACGATACTCAAGCTTCACCACCTTTCAATTTTCTAAATATTGTAATAGAGAATTCATTGTGGTAATAAGCTCGGTGAACGATGTGTCCCGCGAGAACCTAAATTAAAGTGGCGACATCTCGCCACTGAAGTAGACAAAAGCAATGTGAGGATATGTTTGAGTCATCTCTATTTATGGTTTGTGATGTTGATGAAATAATTTGGAGACCCTATTTATAGAATTTTTGGAGTAATTTGGACCCAAAAAATTTTATTCTGCTATCAGGACTTGTTTCAGATATACAAATCTGAATTATACCTCTTTTCACAAAAATAAGGGGTATTCAGATAGGCTCGTCTGAAATCACCCCTGTTTGTTTTTAAAAATAAAAGGTTGTTTCGGGCTTGCATGTCCCAAATAAGCCCTGGTGTTTTTTTTTTTAATAGAAGGTTATTTTGGATGTGCATATCCCAATTATGCAAAACCAAAAACAATTTCATGTTTAGCAGAATTAGTATCATAGAAACATGGAAAAAATTAAATCGGTAACATTAAACAGCGGTAGAACTAAATATTGATATGTTATATATGTATTGAATCGTATAGATTTTACATTTTATACGACAATACATTCAAAAAATGGTCCGATTATATTTAAAAATGCACCAAACTAATTCTCACCGCTTAAATCTAAAACTGATTCTTTCTTTGACTTCTCCCTATTTGCTTCTCTCTCAAGCTTAATCAATTTGGTGAAATCCATCATCCTTTCAAAAAAGTGATTGAACCAAGTTTCCACCTCATTTATGAATGTGTCGTCCACTCAATTGATGTAGTCGGAATAGGAAACCCCAGTTTCAAATAAACATGAACAAAATGGTGCTATCTAAGATACCTGATACAAATGATGTGGCTGGATGGATCGTGAGGTGGGCGACTCCGAAGTGGGAAAAATGTCTATGAAAATCCAAATCTTGTCAGGTCGATACACACTCTGTCATATGCACTTGCTATAAGAAGATCCATCCCATGGAAGGACATCCACTTTGCAACCGATGTGTTACCGCTAAGATATGGAACAAGGGCATTATGAATTTTATCGAAGTTTTCTTTATTCACATATAATCAGGTGTAAAGTTTTGTATGCACCGTTAACTCTGAAATAAGTGTTTGGCGAACAAGAGTGTGATTCTCCTCTCCCTTTTGACACGGCCCGGTACCCGCAGTTACCATCAGTCCCCATATCAACGATCCTTTCAATGTGTTTGTGCATAAAAAAAGGCATCTCATCAATGTAAATCATTGGTGGTTTTTTAATTGGAGGTGTATGGGGTTGTTTTTTAATAGGCGGTGCACGAGGAGGTTTGGAAATGCGTGCTCCCTTGTTAACATTTATTTTGGAATTTGAGGTAGGAAAATGCGGGTATATTGAATCAACAATTTCATGGTAAGACGGAGTCTGCTTTGTTAAACTGTCATCTTGTGTACTTTTCACTTTTTTAGGTGAACCTTTGGTTTTTACCGGTTGCGAAGAAGGTTTCAAATCCGTGGTTTATGGATAGTAAATTTTCCTAAACTATTCTTTTATGTGAAATCTCATATTGTCATCCGCTTTAGAAAATCTATCCATGATCACTTCCAACTCAGTTGTGATGGTTATATTGGATGTACTTTCCTTTCCCGATCCATAGTCATCAAATCAGAGTCTTTTCCAATGAGTATATCCTCATCCATACGTATGAGGGAATTGAGATTCATCTTTTTAGAAAATAATACAAGCACATGGAAGCTCGTAAGTTTTCCTAATTGTACATCCACACTTCAAACTATCTGTCCCTATCGTCTTCGCTCGCTTCGATTCATGAAAAATGAAATTCATTCCCGCCCGTGATATATTGAGAATCAATTGCGAGTAGAGAGTGTTGTCTTTGAATCGGTATTCTACCACATTTTTGCTACGACTAAAAGTGGTTTGAATTTCATTATGTTGGTTTTGGAGCATTTGGTTCATCGTGTCCCATTCTATACAAAGGTCTCCCTTGCTATCACCCAACCATTTCTTCAACACCGAATATGCAAATTCGACTCTATTAGTTGTTGTGTTACCCAAATGTCTGACCTGGTTAGTCCAAGCACATACAACTTTCTCTTTCACCTGATTAAGGATAGTAGATTCAACGTATTTCAGGAAATTGGGATATTCAACACACTAGGTCCTGAATTGTACCACATTCTCAGTATACAACTTTTATGTAGAAGAGTTTAATATATTCGTCCATGCACCCATTATCTTCTCCACCACAACACATGATTTGACCATGTTTCCGTCTTCACCTTTTTTTCTTTGGTTCCATTGTAGGTTTGAGCCGAGATCTCACATTTTTTGTTATATGATACCGACAAAGTAATGCCTATGATGTAGGAACACACTTCTAACCGCATTCATAAGTGCATTATCTCGGTCGGTAACAATGACACTATGCATATTTTGTGGATCCTTTAACGAACTCCTGCATATACCCAATGCCCATGTAACGTTGTCTTCTTTCTTAGATTCCAGAAAACCAAATCCAACCAAAAATATCTTGTTTGTAGAGGTGACACCAACAATTTCTAGAAGTGGAAGCCTATACTTGTTGTTCTTGTACGTCGAATCAATTATAAGGACATTTAGAAATGTCTTGAAAAACTTGATACATTATGGATGAGTCCAAAATATGTCAGGAATACTAATGTTGTCCTCACAAACTCTGTACCTTCAAACGTAGTGGTTATCGTCCAAAAGTTTCAAAGACGTTGCATTTCAGATCTCAGACCTCTTTGTGCAATGTGTTGTTGATAACGTTCATTGTATATATGCTTGATATTTGAAGCACTTTGTGGTCTTTTCTGTTTCAAACTGACAAGTATGTTTCCCGATGCAACTTTGATTATCGACATTTCTAAAATAACTTCCTTCTCTCTCGGCTTAAGACGGCATACAATTGGATGCCCTTGTAGCTTGGTGTCTAACACATGATTATGCATACAAGAAATGACATTAAACCGCCACATGTCATCCACCCTACAATATCAGCGCAATTTAAATGAACACTCATATTTTCTCGATCCGATGTCACCGTGTTTTAACTCCCGAATTTTTGGAACATATTTTCCACTTTTCTCGCATGTCATCACAATAAATGCTTGTCTTCTACTAGTGTCATTGTCGGACATTCCAATCACAATGTCAAACTCAAGTTTGCTAGTTTTCATTCGGACTCATTCAAGCATATGTTGACGAGTGGTGAAACTTTTATCATTTGTAAATTATTGTCGAACATCTATCACGATATCAATCGCGTTAACATCATCTTTCACCTCATTCGACTTAGCATCTTCATCGACCTTGCCCGGAACCTTTATAACAGGTTTGGGAATCATGTCGGAGTGCACCATATCTAAAACTGAAGAAAAAAAACAGAAATTATGTTCAAACAATGTTTTGTTTCTGTAACAGACAATTTTCGGATATGCACATCCGAAATATGGTAGGTGGATTTCGTATATGCATATCTGAAGTGACGTTTTTTATCCAAAAAACAACATCAATGTAAGGAACGTGAGATGAAATGATAAAAGTTTACCTCAAATTACAACTTTATATGCTCCCTTTGCTATGATCAAACATTTGAAACTTGATTTAGAGACGAAAAATTGATTGAGAATGGATGAAGTTTTGTAAGGATGATCATGCAACAAACTAATATAACAAGAATATTTTCGGATATGCATATCCGAAAATATTTCTAAAAATTTAAATTCAACATTTAAATAATAAAACGTTGAAAAAGAAGAATTTTAAATATGTATATCTGAAACATCTTAAAAATATAATTTAAGATAGGTTCGATATATTTAAAAAATATTTTCGAATTTTCAGAGATTTTACTCGTGATAAATGAGAGACTTAAAAAATTGTCTTAAAGAATCCGTGTTGGAATTGAAGGGAGCACAAAGTAAACCCGGATCTATTTATTTATTCCTTCTTTAACGCCGTTTTCAGTTCACACCCTTCGCGTTCTCCGCCACCTTCTCAACCCTCGCTTCTCTTTTTCACTCTCTCTTTCTCTTCATCTTTCCACACAAACCTCACCACCAACCTCCATGGCCACCACTATGCAAGCATCACGCTCTGTGCTCTCTCTCCGTCCTCAACTCAATCAGAGACTGGTATCGTCTTCCTATCACCTTTAATTCTCCATCTTTTACTAATCACTGCAATTTTCCGCTTCGATTTATTCCTCTTTTCGTATTCATTGATCTCTAAATATCGCTTTCAATTTGTCTCCTTTTCATTCTTACGTTCCGATTCTGTTTACTTTCGTTTTTTTTAGATCGTGTATTCATGATTAATTGATAATTCCCACATGTGTTGATGAGGGTTTAAAATTGAATCTATGAATTTGCTTGCACGTCAGCCCAATGCTGGTTGCTGTGCTCATTAGTATTTTTGTTGTTTTTTTGAATATTTTGTATTGATTTTCTAATGAACTTCATTTGAATGCATATGTTGAACAGGCTGTCACTTCAAGCTATGGGAGATGGAATGTGTCTTTTAGCTCACAGTCACGCCCACTTCACCTTACAGTTACCTGTGCTGTATGTCACTATTACAAAAATGCTTTACAAATTTTACCTTTTGTTTGCATGAACAACAACTCACTACATCTTAGACTTGTATTTTCTTATACAGACTGCACTTCATTAAGTCTTACATTTAAACCCTAGGGGTTGGCCTAGCGGTGAAGGCTTGGGTAGGCTTCTCTCAAGGTCTTAGGTTCGAATCCCGCTAGCTACTAACAATCCCTTTGTTGGGCGGTCTATACAGATCCTTGCTCTGCCTCTTTAAATGGGCCCCCCGCTAGTGGACAGTGGGGTTGATCCCCTTGGATTAGTCAGTCGCAAAGGCTGGATACCTATCTTTCAAAAAAAAATTAAGTCTTACATTTGGAAGACGCTGCAATGCACAATTAAGAAAGGTTATGAGGAGATAGATGAATTGGCATATTCTTTAGTGCTAAAAGTATAAAGATCAAATGGTATACATATTCTATAGTACGATATGAACTGTGTTGCATTTGAGAATATTCTGAATTCAGGAAGAAACTGTTTTGTGAAATTTTGTCACACTTTATAAGTCAATGTTTTATGCATTTATGTAGAGCTCAGTAGTTCATATAGATGTTGAAGTCTGTATATCTAGACAGTTTGACTGATATTATGTTAAGGCATCAGTCATTTCTAGTATTTTTTTTGCTTCTGAATGGTTTTCTCCTTCACACATATATATGCGTTTTCGGGGAGTGTATCTTCCATTTTCTGCTTATGCTGAATGCTTTGTGCAGGCTAAACCACAGACTGTGGAAAAAGTGAGCCAGATAGTAAAGAAGCAGCTGGCTTTATCAGATGACTCTAATGTCACCGGCGAATCAAAATTTGCAGCTCTTGGAGCTGATTCACTTGACACGGTAATTGAGATCCTACTACTACTAGACATTGCAATTGCGTGTATATAAGCTAGTTGTATAGTGCAAATTAACAGGCATGAACGTTACATTGTTTTGATTGTTGTGAATTCCATTTACATGCCCTTCAGGTTGAGATTGTGATGGGACTCGAGGAAGAGTTTGGCATCAGCGTTGAAGAAGATAGTGCACAGAGCATCACAACAGTTCAAGAAGCTGCTGATCTTATCGAGGATATCCTGAGTAAACAGAGTCCTTAGAGGAAAAATGTAGCAGATGTAAAACGCCTCTGAAAGACATGCATAGTTATTATTCATACTGTTTTTTAGTATGTTGTGGTCAAGTCTCTAGTGTTTTATTTGCATAGTTTGTTATTGTCTTGTTTCGTAGGTCTTAAAAAGCAAATTAGCGAGCTACTGAGTAGTCCGTTCTTACTTTCCTTGCTCATTATGGGCTTTTCAAATTGTTTTAGTACTTTTAAGTTGTTATGCAATTCACAAATTTGTTGCATAATAAATCAGAGTTGTCTTGAATTTTCGAAAGCCCCGTGTGGTTTATTCACAGTTGACGTGTGACTAATCACATAGAAACTCTATTTTATCATGCTTTAATCACAAAAAATATTTTGAGATTTTTTATAGTTACCGTTTAAACGTGTCAAACTTAAGGTTTCTGTGGTAATCTGCCTTGCACCTTCAAAGATGAGCTTGATAATAATATAGTAATGTATAATGAGCATATGTGATTTGTGTAACCCCATTATCCTTGCCCGTTTCTGACAAATATGTTAAATAGTCTGCATAATGATGTCAACTTCTGACTGAGTGGATCACAAGTTATAGTTTTGCTTTTCCTTTGGACCGTTTCAAGGTTTGTGAGAAGAGCTAGAGAAAAATTAATTTTAAATTAAAATTCATCGTAACCAAAGAAGTAATTAGCTCGATTTAGTCCCTACTATTATTTACAGAACTAAAAAATGGCAGTTTTTAAATTTGGGACCGCCTTGAGTTTTTAGGGAATTGTATGAGTGATCTTTTGAAATAAATAGTGTCTTAGGAATAAATGGTCATTTTTAATTTTTAATACATTTTATTTTCAATTCTATCTTCTAATCTATTTTTAATATAATAAGAGAGATTACTATCATAATTACATCTTTAACCCACTAAAATCAATTTTAATATGAATTTGCAAAAATAATTATAATTCTTAATCATTTCATTAATTTTAAAATTTTATTTACTGCATGGTAACCATTTCTTAATTGCAATCTCACTTTTCGTGTTTTGAAAATAATAGTTTCAATACAGCTATTTAAAATGCAACATTGAGAACCTTTATTTTTTTTAGAAAACCTTGATTTTTCATTTGAATTCCTACTCTCCATTTCACTCTCCGGCAGTTGATTCAATCTTTATAAAAGATGATCCTTCGTTTGAATTCCTTCCATCTATTCATCTGATCCGATTTCATCTACACAAAGCAATATTCATTATTAACGGTATTCTTCATCAATTTTGCTTTCTGTGTTCCGATTTTCAAAATGTTTAAACGAAACATTCTTCCATAATATATAGCTATTGACATAGAACTTCTAAAATCAATTGAATATTAATATGTTTTAGGGTTAAAGGTAAGAGATGTGAAAGTTGTAGAGAAAGCTCATAGCGGAAGCGGCAGCGTCATTGCACGATTGGAAGAGGAAATTGAAGGGGTACACAACGGGACTGATGTCAATGTTCAAATAGCCAGAGCTAGAACGCGGTGGTTAAAACAAAGAGAAAACGACGAAATTAACAGTATCCTGCAATTCTCCTAATTTGAAATTCTTCCCAAAAAAGTTCTGAATCAAAAGGTACATCGACGATAAGATTTTCAATTTCTTTTCTAATTTGTTTTATAATTTGTTCAAATTTCCAATTGATTTCATATTAGTTATGAAAAAAAAAAAGTTACGAACAAAATATAAAAATTCCATTTTTAATTTTTGGCATGGTCTGGTGTTTTTATAATTTGTTTCATAATTTATTGTGTTTTTATATGAAAAATTTATTTGAGTGATTGTTTAATATAGTTATGAACAAATTTGAAGTTATGAATCAAATATGAAAATCTTATTTTTTTTTATTGATCTTATTCTATTATATAATATTGTTTGCCCTATTTTGAATTTAGTATTTTTATTTGTAGTGAAAATGAGTCGAAAGTTTGATTGTGTTAAAGATATCAACGATTTAAAAGATACATAGTAATGTCTCGAGCGTGAAAAGTGGGATGAAGATCAAGGCAAAGAAAGCTACGAAGAAGAATTTGCAAAATTAACGCTAAAAGTTACAGAAGGATTGATTCTGATTTTTTGGTAGTCAAAATTCATACGAGTTTTGCTCTCAATTTTTTTGTTGAACCTGTTTATTTGTTTATTGGTATGTTTGTTTAGTTGTTGTTTTTTTTTAATCTGATTTGGGGTGTAGCCCTTTACAGCAAGTATGAGATGCAAATTTTATGAACTTAAATCTCTAACATATCTCTAAGATATTTTTTAATTTTGTTTAAAAAATATGCAAATTAGAGTTACACTTATTTGTAAAAAAAATCAAATGATTTATTTAACATTTATGATATATCTTATTTTAATTTTATTTTCGTATTATTTAAGGATATCTCCTACGCGCAACTGTAGAAACTAATCACTCGAATAAAGTTTACATTATTTTGTATCTTTCCAACATATATACTTAAATACATAAATACTTATTATTTAAGTATGATACATGTAATTTTTTAATAAATACAAAATAAATATATTTTTAAAATTTCTCATTCAAATTAATCATATAAGCAAGGTGGTAAACAATTTAAATTAGAAGTTTTTTTTGTCAAAAATTTAATTTGGAATCTATCAACAGTGAAACAGTCATTTCACTATCCAAACCAAAAAAATTTATACAAAATTATTTTTATAAATATTTGTTTTTTATTAAAAAAATATGGGGCAATACAAATTTGTTAGAAATAAATAAAAAATAAAAAATTATTGAAAATAAATATTTTAATATAATATTGTCTTTTCAGATGCAACACATTGAAAATTACAAGAAGTTTTTTCGATACCAATAATCATATACTTTCTCATTCAATTCCTAATATTATTTCTAAAAAGACAATAATTGAATGATAACAAATGATATCTAAATTTTAATTTATAAAAAAATGTTAGTATTATTTTTATGATAAAATATTATCAGTTATACCAAAAAAAATATTATAAATATTTATTTTTGATAAATAAAACACGGAACGATAATGATTTTTTAAAAAAAGTTAATTTGTAAATATCAACAATCCGTTTACATCATTTAAAGAAAATAAAAACAAATATAACTGTCAGGACTTGAACTCTGGACCAACAGCCCCTGGAACAATAATAATTGATGAATACACAAATTTGATAAGATAGTTTTGGTTCGTGTAAATATGTAGGTATTGGTTATTTTTTTACTATGGATTTGCCATTTCATTTACTTTCTTAAATAACCTATTCATTTACCAACGTGATCTGCATAATTATATTGGACTATAGTCTTTCTATTTATCAACGTGAATTGGATAACTGTATTAAGGTTTAGGTTTAAATTTTTTTGAGCATCCATAAATTTACAATACAGAAGAATTTAAAAATTATAGGCATGTCCGACGGACCGAACCTATTTTTTCAACAGGTCGACAAAATATTTACTTAAATTGAACGGATATTAGAGATCATATGTTTAATGACTTCTAAATTAATATATAGCATATAACTTCTAAATTACTACACAAATTTAACAAACATAATATTATTCAATTCATTAAATCTAATCAAATTATTATCAATTTTAATTTGTTATTAAATCAATATATTATTTTTGGTGTATAATATGTTTTATTTTATAATGTTTGTTAATAGAAATTATAAAATTAAAATTATAAAAAATTATAAAAATTATAGGCATGTCCGACGGGTCAAACCTGTTTTTCCACTATATATTTGGTTTAATAGCAATTACCAAATCTATGTATATCTTGACAACTACTACAACTTGATAAATTAAATTAATATTTGTATGACAGTCATCATTGAAATCTTTTTTTCCTGTTAATTCGTATATATTTTTATATAAATTTCTTAACCATAAGTATATAATATTTATTAAATATTTATATCGACTTTATTATTGAATCATTAAATAAATAAACACTTATAAAAAAAGCATGTAAATTCTAGAATAGGCGGGAATAGAGCTTGGAACTTGGTTGACAATCATAGTTGGGTTATGTCAACCACAATATTCTTAATCACTTCACTACTTCAATCATCATGCTTGTTGCACTGTGTACATCTTAAAATTGAGGGTAATCGCAAGGGTAATGACCCAAGTCTGGGCGTGAGACGAATTCGATCTTACAACAACCTCAAGAGATGCCATATAAGATGGTTATGGCCGAGATACACTAAGAGACACCATATAAGCCGCCCATGTTAAGAAAACCCAAAAGCCTTCATATAAGCCGCTTATGGTCGAGATATCCCATACACGCCTTTATGGGTATTTATCTTCATGACGTTAGTATGTCCAAACATGTCCCTTAAATTCCATAATTATTGAATATTTGGTCGTTATGACCATTGAATGGAGTTCAATCATCTATGCCTCCCTTATCTAATATTAAGGTGAGAGAATCACAATAAAGAAACATACTTCAAACCAAAAAGATAGACTAAAATCCTTAATAGAAAAGTCATCCACTATGACTTCTTTATGGCTTTATCTTACTTGTTTTATGTTATACCCTAATTTTTGACCTACGATCTCATCCTTCATTTACATCATTGCATAGTAAGTGTTCACGAGAGGGTTTGATCTATTTTTGCCAATTCTCGGGTCAGATTTCGAAAATTCATAACTTATTCAAATTTCGATATTTTTGAGCAGTTCTTTTTGCATACGATTCTTCTTGAAATCATCTATAATTTCTCTTTACAAGTCAAGTGTTTACTATGCTTTAAAAAACCACGAGAAATGGAAACATTTGAGGTCACTTTGAGAATTTATTGGAAACTTGATTTAATTTCAACTGTGCTTTAAGAAGTCATGAACATTACACTTTTATCTTTCTTCTTTTGTTTATTATTTCATCTTATTTCAAAAATCACAAAAAAAATAAGAGTAGTATCATTTTTTGCATTTTTACTTTAATCGAAATTTATAACTATCGTTCT